TTCTCCACTTGAGATGCAACTCTTTATCGACAGTTAGTTGGCAGTCTCATTTATCTTACTATCCAAGTGAATTTCATAGTTGTTCATCTGATCAGTCAGTTTATGAGTGACACTCGATCTACCCATTTTGCTGCGGTTCTTCGAATCTACGCTACATCAAGGGTACTATGTTTCATGGTCTGCACTCTCATCCCATCCTCTCTGGAGCTACAGGCCTATTCTGATGCAGATTTGGCTGGTGATCTATTGATCGTGCTCCACCACTGGTTATTGTTCTTACTTGGTACTTCTTGATTTCATGGCGTAGTAAGAAACAGTCTATTGTTGCCCGTTCTAGCACTGAGGCTGAGTATCGCGCTCTTATTGATACGACAATCTAAACTTTTGTGGTATGCTGGCTTCTAAAAGATATGGGTGTTCCTCAATCAATAAGTTCTCCTCTTCACTGTGATAATCGTAGTGCCATCCAGATTGAGATAATGATGTGTTTCATGAACGTACTAAACATATTGAGATTGATTGTCACTTCATCCGCCATCATCTTCAGCAGGTGTTCCTCCAGTTACATTCAGTTTCTTCTGAAGATAATCTTGTTGAATTTTTACGAACATCCCATCACACTGGTCAACTGGTGTCTGTTTCCAAACTCTAGTTGACTTCGCCACCAAGAGTTTGAGGGGGGATGTTAGTTATATACTGATCTTATAATATCCCTATAATATTGTAGTTATATATTAGTATCTTATAATATCCCTAGATATATGATTATTCGTAATTAAGCTATAATTTCTCTAATATGCTAGGTTAGAATCTTTCCATATAGGGTTTTCCTATTACTTTGACTTCTCCACTATATATAGAGGCCTCCTTTGTATAGTTTGACACACAAAAATATACAATCATATGATTCCTCAAAACTCTCTTTATTTCAACGGATCAATGGTTACTTCACTCTTTATGTTTTTTTACGTACACAAAGATAAAGTAATACATGATATTTTTTCAAGGAGACAATTAATTAAAAGGTAGCTTAAAAATTTGGGTGTACAAGAGCACACACATGTACATTAATAGTCCAATTGCAATTTATTTAGCAAAAGAAAAAAAAAATCCATAACAAAGAGAAGTATACAACACATGCGAAATACAGGACATTTGATTACACTATATGTTGATGCGTAATTTGATACAAAAAAAATCACACATGCAAACTACTATGAATTTACAACTGAGATGATTATGGAAGTGTTTAGGGTAGTGATGATATATGCTTGCAGAAATGTAAATAAAATATTGGCAAGACAAATTTTTAGGTGGTTCGAATGCTATAAGTCCTACGTCCATTGTATTTTATTATTCTTGACAATTTTTCTAACACTGCCTATGAGGCGTACAAAGATGGAGTAATTCTTATTACAGAGAAAAATATGGCTTAAGCTTGATTGTATGCTAGCCTCCTCTTGATAAAGAACATTGCTCATTTATATAGTTGAGTCTATAAATGATTACTTAGCAAGTTGTCTGCTTACCATGGGGAGTTCTCTTTAATCCTAATCCAAGAACAAGTGTGGCTACTTGGATTATTGATGACAACTCACACCTTCTAGGCTTGATTGTTGTTTGTTTAATTGGTGACTGATTTCTTATATATATATATATATATATAATATATATATTATATATATATAATATATAATATATATATAGAGAGAGAGAGAGAGAGAGAGAGAGAGAGAGAGAGAGAGAGAGGAGAGAGAGAGAGAGAGAGAGAAGATGTGATTATCACTGTTTTTGCAAATATGTTAACTAAGTTGATGACAATTAGAGATGAATAAGTTCACACATAACAGACTTCTTATATACAGCTACCTAGCGAGGCTTAGCTTATGCTCTCTTATATACTATAACTAAAAAAGTTTTAAACCCTTATTTCAAAAATCAATGGGATAAAGGAATACTTATTTGAAATTCAACCACTTAATAATAACACATCTATCATACTTAGTAAATTACTAACAAACCAACTTGGAAACTCACTTTGTAATTCTGATGCAAGAAATTGTTATTTAAAATCTATAGGAAAAAAATTATATATTCTTTATATTTAGGTTTCCTATCCTAATTTCTTATTTTATTGTCCTAGTTAATTAGATTTGTTTTAGAGTTCTCAATAATAGAATAAGATTTGTCTTATGATAGATTTATTGCTTTCCTAATTAGTTTAGTTAAGGTTAATTCTAGTATAAATAAAGTTTTTTAGCTGCCTTTAAGGGAGAATTAAGTTTTTTACTATTATATGTTAATGAAGTTGAAAAACTTGGGGTTTTCAATTTATCCAATATCTAAATTTGATACATTTAGTGGGTGGTTTTTGTATCACTTGTTGTCTTTATTTCGAGACCCGATGGAGGAGGTTTTTCAAACAATCTAGTATCTGAATCTTATACATATCGATGGTGGTTATCGTATCACTTGTTTTTATTTTCAGTTATCTCTTTTATTGTTTCGGCATATTTGTATCAGAGCTTTAGGTTTGTTATCAATGGCTGAACAGTATATGGTCAAGGTCAACGAGCTTGCAATAGGAATTTGGAATGGCTCCTATGGAAGACGTTGTTGATCATCACTTGACCAACGAGATGTAGAGATCGACAATCTCAGGAGGCAAGTTCAAGATCTCCAATGGCGGCTTGCGCAATTTGAGATCCCGACGGAGGAAAAGGATTTTGAAATATTATTGATGATGAAATTGAGGTTATGATGATGATCACTTCAATGTTTATTTTAATGATCATGATGAATCGCCACAATTTGATGATGGTGTCCTTCAAGAAGAATTAATGCATGGAGAAGAAGATTGCTTTGAAGTACACATGGATGATTTTGAAAGAAATTATTTTGTCATCAATTTTGTGAAAACGTGCATGATCACTCCAACAAGATAAAGTGGAAGAAGATTTTGCTTCATGATTTTGTTCTAACAACTGAACTGATTGGAGATGGATGTTATTCACAGATTGGGAAATTTATAATCATTCGAGCATATTACTTGGATATAATCTAGAAGAGTTTTGATTAGTGCAAGTTGAAGATGAGATGTTGTGCCAGAAATTCAATGGCAAATTTCTATTAGTAGGGGAGAATGATGTAGAGAATATATATTAAAATTATAGAGGAAAAGATATATTATTCCTTATATTAGATGTCCAATCCTAATTCTTATTTTCTTATCCTAATTAAATTAGATTTCTTGTTTTAGATGTTCTCCATATTAGAATAAGATTTGTCTTAATTATTAGGTTTATTGTTTTCCTAACTAATTAAGGTTAATTCTTGTATAAAAAAAAATTAAAAAAAAATAAAAAATTTGTAGCCTTCAAGGAAGAAATTAAGTTTTTGACTATTATGGGTGGAGTAAACGACTTTTTTCCACCCAAATAATGGTTTAATGACATTTTTTTATCCACAGACTTTTAAAATACCATTATACTACCCAAGTTTTAAATTTCATTTCTGATTCCGACATCATTACGACCCCACTCCACCATCATTCTCTTCCCCTATCATCACTCACCAAAACCCCTCAAACCCTACTCTTGTCGACCTTGCCAATCGCCGGCAATCGAATGATTAGGGTTTGCGAAGCCGTCTCTCCCAAGTCAAATTCTAATCAATCCCAACCATCAAAATCCAACCTTCCACCACCAAAAGATTCATCGCCCTCCCCTCTTTAAAAACTTCAATAGCTTGGACAAAGTTTGCTCCTTGTTCCTTGTTGGAATATAAATTTAGATAGTAAAGTGGTATTTTAAAAACCCGTGGGTGGGAAAGTGTCATTAAGCCACTATTTGGGTGGGAAAAAGTCGTTCTCTTATAGGTGTGTTTGGTTGGCAGTTATGCGAGATTATTCCAATAATATCATCTTATATTACTTACATTACCATATACAAGTAATATAAAATTTCAGTAATCTTCCAAAACTAATAGTAATCATTGTTGGTTATATAGGTGGTAATCTGAACACCACCATTTTCTTAGGTATTATGAGATTACTTGATAATCTTATCTTTGTTATAGTTTTACCCTTAACTATTAAAACTTTTGGACAAGAATGCCTTTGTTTTGAAAATAATTTACAAGAATATTTATAGACTATTTTATCCTTATACATAAAAAATTTGGACAAGAATGCCCTTATATTGAAAACAATTTACAAGAATGTCAGATTTGGCCACCACCGCTCGCACCTGCCGTCGGCCACCACTACTCGTGCCTGACGCCGACCACCACCACTGGCCTTATGTGGATGTCGTCAGAACGGTGCACGATCGGCTGGATCTAGCCAGTCGTGGGTGATCTGGCCGTTAATGGCCAACGGCCATGGATATAGCTGAAATGAATCTGGCCGTTTTTGGCTAGATTAGCGCACGGCTAGCCAGATTTGACTGATCATGCACTGGTTCGATAACTGTCGACGGCCGGCAGTGGCTTGGGTGGGTAGAGATGTTTTTGTGAAAATTTAAAATTTTATTGTTGTTGGGTTTTTCTAACAAAATCTCAAATGTAGGGTGTTAAAATAGATAATTCAAATAATAATAATGAAGAAGGGTAATTGGGTAATTTACATAACATAGCCATCAATTTATTCCTCCCAACCAAACATTTCAATATAATATACCTACTAATTTATTCCAATCTAACCAAACTTATTTAATATAACATTCTCAGTAATCTTCAAGATAATCCATCTTCCCATTAATATAATATTTCCAATAATATGTTAATGAAGTATTTGAGAAACCTAAGGATTTTTAGTTTATCCAGTATCCGGCATCAAATTCTATCCTGAATGAATAGTAATTTGACTATCAAAATAAAAGTTATAATAGGCTGTTGTACAACTCCCAAGTTTTTAAGCAACCTCTGTAACCAAATATATATATAAACAAAGGATCATAAGAGAAAAAAGACTAAGCATATATTCCTTTACATATATCTGTTTTGTTTTTTAGGTGAATTTCTATTATTATAATTACAGTGAATATAAACCCATGTTCCTATCATGCGATTGAGTCATTTTGCTTCGTATGGATCGATCATATGTTATATTAATTTAAGTACATAAGTTGGAAAGATAAAGTGAAGGAGGTTGATGAATGAATTAAAAACCCAACATCATCATTCTGACAAATTCCTCGTAGTTAACTTGACCATCACCATCAAGATCAGCCTCCCTAACCATTTGGTCTACCTCTTCATCTGTCAGTTTCTCCCCCAGGTTCATCATTACATGCCTCAACTGCATATACATACATATTAAGAAGAAACAATTACTATATATATTCTGTATCTATATTTATAAGTTGAGATTTTGAAGAACTGAACCTCATTAGGAGATATGTAACCATCTTGATCCTTGTCAAATACTTTGAAGGCTTCTCTCAATTCCTCTTCCGCTTCACATTCCTATACATAAACCAAGTAGTTATATCACTCTTGATCAAAGATTTTTTTTCTGTATTTGTAATGAACTGATTAGTTACCTTCATTTTTCTTGCCATGAGATTCAAGAACTCCCCGAGCTCTATAGTTCCATTACCATTCATATCAACTTCATTGATCATGTTATGAAGTTCTGAATACCAGAGTGGTAGAATCAGTAGGGATATGGTTTTGGGGAAGATGTCCTTCCTAGACTAGAATGTGAACCTGGAAAATCATTGATATGACTCAGGATCAGATCTTCTAGAATTGGAAATTCAGGAGTAGTTCCCAATCATCAAGGTGGAGCTGATGAGACAGAGGAGAATCCTGAAAATCCTAATACAGATGAATTGGATGAGCAGAAGAACAAAGAGAACAGAAGACCAGACTTGATAAACTATCACTAGCTAGATAGAACCAGGAGAGTCATTACCTCCCAACGACTAGATATGCAGACCTGGTAGCTTATGCACTTGGTAGAGACAGTTGAATGATGAGCCTAGAACATTTAAGAAGCTATATTGGACCTAAAAAATCAGAATGGAAAGGCAATCGGGATGAATTCAGCTCATTAATGAAAAAAATACCTGACCTAGTTGATACCAAAAAACTGCAGGGTGGCAAGTGCAAGTGGATCTTCAAAGCGAATAATGCGTAATTCAAAGAATCACCTAGGTACAAGGCTAGACTGTTGCAAAGGATTCACTCAAGTGGAAGGCATAGACTATAATGAAATATTCTCCCCAGTTGTAAAGCATGCATCAATCAGAATTCTGATTTCTTTAGTTGTACAGTTAATCTGAACTGGAGCAACTAGATGTAAAAACAACCTTTTTACATGGTGACTTGGAAGAGAATATTCTGATGGAGCAGCCAGAGGATATTCAGGACCAGCAGTAAAGTTTGTCTTTTAAGAAAATCACTTTGGCCTAAAACAATCACCAGATAGATGTGGTACAAGAAATTTGATTCTTTATGATTGAAATTGGCTTTATAGATGTCAGTTTGATAGCTTTTTTATTTTAAAAGAAATCTGATTGACTCATACTTACTTGTTGCTTTATGTGGATGACATGTTGTTGCTTGCCATGACAAAACTGAGCTTACTCGTGAAAGACCAACAATGCATGCATGAAGGAGAGAGTGGAAATGGAGAGAAGAAAGCATGAAAAGAGGATTCAAAAAAAAAAAACGTTTTTCATGCAAAGACTTGAAAAGAGATTATACCTACTCCTTTGCTTTGGATTGATGAAGATTAGCCTCAAAAGGATGACAAACCTCACACTTAACACACACCTTGACAGATTAGGGAGTGGCCGTGGGGTTGAGAGAGAGTTTTAGTTTGTTTTTGAGTGAATAAGTGGCGAATGAACTAAAATGCAACCTTTGTATTATATATACTGGGCAATTTTGTAATTATTTATTTTTCACTTCCAAACCCAATAAAAACTTATTTTAAAAAGGGACCCCACGAATTTATTATTCTACCCTTTGAATGATCAACATTATTCAAAGGCCCAGTAAACTAAACTAGTTTACATTAACAACCCATAAATTTACCTTTTACCCTTAACTATTAAAAGGTTATTTTGTTCATCTCATTATCTTAACACTTTAAGATAGATATTAAATATAATTAATTATTGCTTGACCATTTTAACCCTTAAAATGTCACAAATAATTTTCTATGTAACTATTACTATAGAAATATGCTGTATTACTCCGGAAGGTGCTAGCCTCTTCAGATAATCATTTCTCTCTCTATCTTCTCTAACTTCTCGGGCTATTGGTATGACCATGGAGGTCCACCGTGGATTAGCCGTGAGCCGGTTTGATTGGAAACCGAAAACATGTCCAGAGGCAGCCAACGACTATGGTAAACATCTAGCAATGTGCCATAGTCCCTAAACCACGATGAAGAAATACTTCATCGAACCATTTCAGATCATACGTACCATGCAGGTAAAAGTCCCTCATTGAGATATCCTGATCGAGCACAGATTCATGGAATGTCAAAATCCTAACTCGATCTTTCTAACGAATCGTCGATCAGTATGTCTGGAACTCGTCATCACAAACTTGCTTTTGTATGACTAATAATAGACTCGGCCAGAGATTCTGATTCCAACATTTATCAACGTTCGTCTAGGAAACTCGAACCGGATGGAGAGTCAGGGTACTCCCGATCCTATTTCGATGCAAACGTCCCCTCTTGACCATCGTTCGTTTCCGCATATGAACAACGCATGACCAATAGGCTTTATTATACGAAACATGATTAGTCTCGTACGTATACACCGTGATGAACCTACAATCCATATCGGATCCGACTACAATGTTGTAGGTCAAAGGACTACATCGTGCCACTGATATAACCAAACGATAAACATTGACTACATGCTTTTCCAAGTGATTTGTCGTTATTCGGTCACATTCGAAAAACTTCACCAACCGTTAATCCTACCAATGCCCCAGTGACATGACTATCATCGTCATCCGTACTATATCAATCATGATATCTTTCGGAAGCATCCGATATGCCTACTGTGCAATATAGTTGCCCAAATTATATTGCTTCCGTAGGGAACCCTGTTTCGATAATTCATTTACCGATTAAATTGAATTATCTGGACAATCTATATACATACTTTATTTTAAATGCATCTGAACTGATAAAGGAAGCAATTATATATATGAATAAGAACTCTTTATTCTATTATTAGGTATATATAGTCACAAGACAAAATGCTCGTGAAACCGACAACACGAATGGTTCTAGGGCATACCTAAATACACTAACAACTCGATTGAAGAAAATCCTCAATACCAAGTTTGAAATGAAGGAGCTGGGTCAGGCTCAAAAGATCCTTGGTATTACCATTATAGAGACAGAATGCAGGGAAGCTGAAGTGGTTCAAGAAGAATATGCAGAGAAAATTCTCAGAAGTTCAATAGCAGAATGCTAAAGCTGTCCAAACTCCACTAGGGCAGCACATCAAAATCTCATGATCAGTGCCCGAAAACAGAAGAAGAGCAAAAGGAAATGTCCACATTCCATATGCAAATGCCCTGGGCAGCCTAATGTACCTAATGGTTTGCACCAAGCCAGATGTGCATATTTTGTGAGTTTAGTAAGTAGATTCATGAGCAATCGGAAGACTACATTGGTCTCACTCAAAATGGATTCTAAGATACTTACAAGGATCAAAATCAGTGGGCATAGTATTCAGTAAGAACAAAGAAGAAAATATACTCATTAGAGGGTATGTTGATGCTGATTATGAAGGGACTTTGATAGAGAAGTCCACTTCAGGCTTTGTTTTACAATTGTGGGGAAATGTGATTAGCTGGAAATCAAAGCTTCAGCATATGGTTACACTCTCATCATAAATCTGAGTATGTAGCCCTGACAGAAGCACAAAGGAGCTGTATGGCTCAAAGGTTTGTGAATGAACTGGAGCTGAACAGAAACTGTGAGATCAAAAGTGACAGTAGAGTGCAATACATTTGTCAAGAACCAAGTCTTCCACGAGAGGACAAAACACATCGATGTCAGGCTTCATTTCATAGGAAATGATTGAAAAAGAGAAGTCAAGATTGAGAGATAAGAGGTACACACAATCCTACAGCATGTCCCAAACCAGTAACTGCAGATAAACATAGGCTCGTATGAGCCTATTACATGTTAAGCATAGTTCAATATTGCCAAGGCCACTCAGGGTGTCAATTCACAAGCCAAGGTGGAGAATTGTGATGATGATGTGGCTTGAAATTGCCACGGTGGAGTCAACATTAGTCAAGAAGAACAGATTCACAATTTAACTAAGACGCGTCGTTTTGCTATCAAACTTAGTGCCCTATCTGGCACTCGAAACCCATTCTGTTGCAACAAATTCACAAGCATCTTCTTTCTCTCTGGTCCATTTCAGCCCTATTCTTCGCTCATGACAAAGATCTAGTGCCCATCTTCTCCAACGGATTGCAGATCATACTGACAGGAGGATGATCAACGGAGTCCTGGTGTATAAAATCAACCATATGTACTAGAGAAAACAGAGCAGTGAGAGGGCTTAATCGGGTGTGTTCTTTCTTGTATTTCTTGGTTGTATACTCTCTGTATCTTGTTCTCTCTGATTAATGAAATACCCTATAGTGTGCCTGAAGGATGATAGCTACCTTAGCCAACACTATAAATCCCCTGTGTCAATTTCTATTATGTTCTTTTATGCTTTACTAATCTCTGAATTGATTGCATGTTGATCTGAAGTTGTGTTAGCTCATTGATTGATTTGATCAGCTTAGTTGATAACCCTAATTAGTCACTACAATCACGACACGAATATTAGAAGTTTTTAATATGAAGATGAAAAGTTGTTGACTTCACAAAAAACAATTAATTATTTGAATGTAACTGTACGTTCAAACTTAAAGATGTTTGTTGAGAAAATATATAGTCATTTAATTAAAGTTTATTCTATTGATGTCTTTTCTCGCAACTCAAGAGTATATCAGATTAGGTGTGGAAAATGATATGCAAAAGCTTTTTAGAATTCATATTTTACAAATTAGGTAAGAGTATGGGGCTATTTACATTAAAAAAAAAAAAAAAAATCAATACCAATTTTTAAGTTTACTAACAATAAAAAAAATTTAAAAATTAGATATTGAAAAAGACATTAAAAACAAAACAAAAAAAAAAAATTATAAGAATCGATTTAAGAAAGGGTTTTGGTATACTTTGTAGATTTTTTATTTTTATATATAGCCAATAACCCTATCCTTTAAGTAATGATCCTCAAATTTAAGTGGTTTAGACATCAAAACCTTGAAGAGAAACAAGAAATTACTTGAAGGTGAAGATAAATAAAAAGGAAAAGTATAAGAACTAAGATTATTGTGAAAAAGAAGATATGCTAAATTTCATTCCTATATGTGATTTATGCCCAACTATAAGAGTAGCGTATGAGCTAAAACAGGAAGAATCAATGAATTGCGGATACGATCAACAGAAACTCCCAAGAACTTCTTAAATATTAATGGCAGGTGCGTGATACAAATGTAGAAAATTTGCATGATCAAATATACAGGGAAGCAGACCAAGACCTTGCGAAAATTCAAAGTATGACGTGAGATTACTCTCCTCATCAAA